AATATGGTAATTATGTGGAAGAATGTCCAATCCAAACTCACGCAAAGGTCCTGATGTTAGTGCAAAATCACTGATATTGGAAATTCTAGCCTTTATCAGAGTATGTATCATTGTCATTCTGGAACAAATTGTACACAACGGGAACTATTGAGATCCTGGGTTAAGCAGCTTTCACCAAGAACACTAGCGATATCAGTTGTCATTTTGTGATAAAGAAATGACTGATGCATCTATTTCCAGCAGCAGTGATGCTATTTTCACGCTTCCAGACATTACACCCTCCCAGCAAGGGTGGAATAACCTGGCAATCAGTCTGTACAAGAACATAGTCACTGTATAATATGTCTGAAGTGGAGGCGACCCTCACTGTGGTCTAGTGGTAGAGTGTCTGCCTGGAGATCAGAAGGTCAGGGGTTCGATCCCCGGCTGTGTCACACCAAAAGGCTTCTTACCCTTCCTGGCGCACGGCATTCAGGGGCTAAAACAAGGATGGTTGGCTTGGAGTCAGTATACTGTGTCTGAGTTGGGTATTCATGTTAAACTGGTATCTCAGTGGGATAGCACTATAAAATCGGCATTAGTCTGGACTAGTACAAGCAGCCAAACACACACACTCACTCACACGTGCATGCTTGTTGCTACATAAGTGCAATAGTCTTGGACGCGACATTAAACACCAATTTACCTCACCTCACCTTGTTAAAAACTTATGCACACACGCACGCACAGCTCAACATGGGTAACGCTTACCCTGCTTATTAGTGATGTAAATTGGTTGTAAAATCATGATTGATGATTGAGCCATCATTAGATTAATTAGTTAGCGTTATTTCACTGATTTTTAATATGAAGTTCAGTAAAACTAGGCCACACATACAAACAAATGCTTATTTCAGCACTTTATTTTTCAAAATAGACGCTAGTCTCATTCTTCGTCTCCAAGTAGTAAGTGAATATATGTGTGTGTGTGTGTGTGTGTGTGTGTGTGTGTGTGTGTGTGTGTGTGTGTGTGTGTGTGTGTGTTGTTTAAAGCTGCACATTTTCCAGTGTATAAACCTAAATAAAAGGACCGTACAGTTGAGAACTTGAGACGGGGGCAAAATTGTTTGTGATCAATAGTGCAAAATTGAGTGTGAATTGCTTGGTTGTTTGGACATTCTGATCAATCTTCAATTATTTCAATTACATGGAACACCACTAATGCTTGTGTGTTACTAAGATATCAATGATGCTTACTTAGCATCACCATTACCTTGTGTACACCTTTGTTGAAACTATAATTTTTTTACACCTGAGTTCAGGAATTCCGCCCGCCAAATAGTTCTGTTGGTAATTAAGAATGGACTTCGATATTATGTGTGTTTATGGAGATATAAACATAATACCGGTGTGCAAGCTGTGGACCTCCGCAAAGTGTGGGTTCTAGTCGATAATTTTTGCAATTTATTTTCCTTATTCATGTTAGCTTGTTGACAAGTATAAGCTCATGTTACTAGACCAGGGGATATTTGACCTGGGCTCCAGATGACAAGGGTTGGATCTGTTATTAGAGACGCCGGTGTACCTCCAGAAACTCCTGTAGGGCCAAGTACCAGTGAACCTGCAGTCGAACCCGATTGGTTCAGTTATTGTCAAACTCACAGTCCGGTTCTTGCAAACTCTTACAATATTTATCACTATTTCTACTGGATGTGTTGTCCAGGTTGTCTTGAACTCCAGGTTATAAATAAGTTATAAGTGGTAAGTCCCAGCATTACATCGTAAGTCACATGACTTCATGATAATCCAGTGATGTGACTCAAATGGATTTAGATGCATATATGTGGATACAACAAATGCTTCTGCTACTATTTTCTAATCCTCATGTTTATATAAATGTTATTTACACAACATGCATGATGTGTGTTCACTGTTTGTTGTCTGACATCAAGGTCAAATGGTAATGAGATCAAGATGACGAGTCATTGATAAGTCAGACTTTTTCAAAACAACAGGAGTCGACTTAGTAGAATATATAATTGTCATATTTGTTGATGGTGTTGCTAAGATTTGTTGCATAATTTATTAATAACATTTTGGTTATTTAAAAATGACATGAAAAACTCCCATTGTACATTTTATTGAAACAACTTCGAGTGCTCCTAGTTTCCCTAGTAATGTGGACAGCCTCTGTGGTCTAGTGGTAGAGCGTCCGCCCGGAGAGCGGAAGGTCCAGGGTTCGATCCCCGGACGCGTCATACCAAAAGACATTAAAAGATGGTACTTGTTGTTACCTTGTCTGGCACTCGGCATTAAGGGGCTAAAACAAGGACTGGTCAGCTCGGAGTCAGTATACTGTGTCTGAGTGGGGTATTCATGTTAGACTGCGGCATGGTATCTCAGTATGCTAGCACTATAAATCGACGCCAGTCCGGACTAGTACAAGCAGCCACACAAACACACACACGTACATGCACGTCGCTATATAAGTGCAATAATCTTGGACGCGACGTTAAACCCCATTTCACCTCACCTCACCCTTGTAATGTCCCTTGTGAAGATTCAGCTTGTAGGGTTGGAATTATGGATAAACTGTCAATAAACAACATCTGTGTCATGCTAACATGGTTCAAGCACAGGATGATGCAGCGAATTTATTGATGAATGGAAATTAGTTTTTAGAAGAATATTCATGAAAAATGTTTTCATCTGGTTTATTTTTTGTGACAGCCAGGTGTTGACTACATATTGATGATTTGTGTTGTGGCCTGAGATAGACTCTGGGTGATTCTGAATCTCATTGCTTCTTTCTTCTTGTCCAGGATTGTAGTGATACTCTTTCTTATCATGCTTATCCAAAAGACTTTACAATGGTAGAAACTAACATTTTTGGTCCACTAGTCCTTATAATGATAATATATAGCAAAACCATTACAAATGGCAAATTGCTACTAGTCTTTATGATACCTTACTATTGGACAGTTTGGCAAGGACTATTGGACTAGTGCCAGTTTCTAACCCTGCTTGAGAAGGTGCCCTCCATGGTGCTCGGCATTAAGGGGAGTGCGTAGTCTAGTTGATAAAGCGTTCACTCATCACACAAAAAACAAATTTTCATTCCCCACATGGGTACAATGTGTGAAGCCAATTTCTGGTGTTCCTCACCATGATATTGCTGGAATATTGCTAAAAGTGGCATAAGACCATACTTACTCACTCACTCACTCATTAAGGGAACCCTTGACTCAGAGACCCGTGAAGATTCCGGGGTAGAATAGGTCTTCAGCAACCCATGCTTGCCGTAAAAGGTGACTATGCCTGTCGTAAAAGGCAACTAATGGGATCGGGTGGTCAGGCTCGCTGACTTGGTTGATGCATGTCATCGATCACAATTGCATGGATCGATGCTCATGATGTCAATCACTGGATTGTCTGGTCCAGACTCGATTATTTACAGACCGCCATCATATAGCTGGAATATTGCTGAGTGCGGCGTTAAACAACCAACCAACCAACCAACTTGACTCAGAGTCAATACACTGAGTCTGAGTTGGGTATCCATGTTAAACTGTAGCATGGCCTCTCAGTGGGCTTGTGATACACAACCGGCATAAGTCGTGACTAGTACAAGCAGCATGCACGTCGCCTGAAAAGTGAAATAATATTGAATGCAATGTTAAAACCATTTTAGTTTGCCTTATCATGCTTCCATCTCATCCTCTCTTGTCAAGCAGACGTGCCATGATTATAATTGAAACACTGTTCGAAGCGACTTAAAAAATACTTGGTCACTTATTTTCATCCCCCACTCCCCACTACCAAAACTCCCACCTCACACCTCGTTTTACCTCGTCTAACTTCATAGACTGACTTTCTAAAATTCTACCTATAAAATATTCAGAACAGCATTCATTGTTTTCTAGTGTGGTTTCAGTAAGGCTAAGGAACACTTTGTGAAAGTGATGTGATCACCATCCTGGGGTTTAACCAGGTCAGCCTGAAGCCGTGGGGGGCTGTTATCGGTTGAACATCTTGGGTGGGGAACGTTGAATCATTTATTGCCAAAACACCTTTAGTTTCACATAGTTCTTTCCAGACTGGTCAATACTTCTGTCTTGTCCTCCTTAACGGGGTCTACTTGAATACCAGCCACTTCACCAAAAGTTTGTATTCCAGAAAATGGTGAAAACAAACTCCTCTTTTCAGTGATGATGACATATAGAGACACATTAACAAGGATTATCCTGGACATTTTTACCTATGAGAGAAAATCTCCCCTGGTCCAAAAGCAAAGAGATTTTTGGGCGTGTGATGAGATTTTGCTAATTTTCAGAGATATTTCATCTACATTGGAGACAGTATTTGGTTTTCACAATTTGTGACTCCAATTTATTTTGCAATTAAAGTTACTAGATTATATTGATATATCCTCAAATATCCTATTTTCGAAACATTAATTATTCAACTACGAATATTTAGAAATATTAGCATTAGAATTAAAAAAAAATACATTAGTACTCATTTTTCTGTTCATTGTCTACTTCAGGAGAAATTACATTAATAATAATGTGTTTCTGTTTATTGTCGCGAGGACAATTATAGATGATTTAGGAGGCATGTTTGCCACCATCAGCTGTTAGGATGCAGGAGCCAACGATCTGCAGTTATCAAATTTCTAGGTCTTCGACAATGTCAGTTGTGATCGTAATTTAATATGTTCAAAATGATGACATGAAATAGCAACTGTTTTAAATGGTGTTACAGTTTGTTAGCAAAAATATGTTATTTACATTCCAGTGCTTTCGTCAATTTCACCAGGGATGTTTGCTGGATGAAACTTCCCCAGTGACATCAATAATAATATTTCTTCTGTCTGACTTATATTTACCGGTACTGTTAGAAAGGAAATCCATGCATGTTATGATTGTATAGTCATGAGCAAAATTATGAAAATGATTTAAGAATGATTAAATCATTTTAACAATGTTAACAGCAGAATATCTATTTTCTTTCTTTTTCAGGTAACTAATTTCATCCCATCTATCAGTGCTGTGACAGGCATCACCCCCCAGAGTTATGTGTGGAGGATATGTGTTGCCCTTCACGCCACACCACGCTTTGCAGTGGCCATTATATACTACAACTTGTACAAGAACCTCACCAACGTTGTCAGTAAAGAGTACCGTGGACTGTTCCTCAAAGTTATAGGACTCAATTACTGGCTGAACTTTATAGAAAATTCCACACTTGTCGGAGTAACGTATATCTCTAACAGGGACAACTACCGTAAGTTTCACCACAATCTCACTGTCATTTTTATGTCGTATCAGTTTCAGAAACTTTTATTATGATATTGGGCGGTCTGGTAGCCCAGTGGTTAAAGGGGAAGTGTACACACAAAAATCTCTTTCTATCTTTTTCTAAACAAAACGCAATTTTAGAATTAGTTAGTATCTGTGTTTGAAAATATACACTCATTTTTTTTCACAGTGAAAGTAGGAAGCTCACAATAGTGTGAAAATGATATGCCGTTATGAGGCCTTCGTTTTTCGAGCTAAACAGGCCTGAGTTATCCCCCTTAGATTATGACGTAATTGGTGCCAATTCAACTGGGTCCCTGTCTATTCTCAATGCAAAAGATATCAAGTACCAGTTTGTGGTAAAACAACATGGCCTACGACACACTCCGGCGCAGTGGTGACTCAGCATAACACTATGCTGGCTGGCATCTGAGACGCTAGAATCACACACCTGTACCTACACCACGTGAAGCGGCTCTAACAAAGCATGATGACGTCATAATGTTTATCAATTGGCACCAATGACGTCATATTGTAAGGGGCATAAGCCATGATGTTTTTGTTATGGAAATAGAACACTTGGTAAATGTGAAAAATATAAATCATTTTAATGCAAAAAATATGTCAATTATTAGTGATATTTTTATATTTTTGTCTATGACACTTCTAGGTTAACACTTTTAATGTGGAAAAAGTACAAGAAAAATAGGTTCATTTCCGTGTGAACTTGCCCTTTAAAGAGTTCGCTCGTCTCGCCGATGGTCCAGGTTCGATTACCCACATGGGTACAATGTGTGAAGCTCATTTCTGGTGTTCCCGCCGTGATGTTGCTGGAATATTGCTAAAAGCGGCTTAAAACCATACTCACTGACCCCCTTTATTATGAAATCAGTGTCATTATTATTATCACCTCGATTTTATTATCACATGAGTTTCATTATCATGATTATCTCTTATTTTTCTATTTCATTATCAAGTTAATTTCAGAATCATATCAATTTCACTATCAAGTTATTTTCAACATCAAATCATTCTAAATCACATCTCCATACCTGTGAAGATTTGGGTTAGAATAGGTCTTCAGCAACCCATGCTTACCATAAGCATGATAAGAAGCGACTGTGCTTGTCGTAAAAGGTGACTAACCGGATCGGGTGGTCCGGCTCGCTGACTTGGTTGATGTATGTCATCATATCGCAATTCCATTGATTGATGCTCATGATTTCAATCACTGGATTGTCTGGTCCAGACTAGATTATTTACAGACCACTGTCATATAGCTGGAATATTGCTGAGTGTGACGTTAAACAACGAACAAACAAAACAACGCCTCCACTGATTAAAAAATCACATGGTTTAATTGAAGCTTTGACAACAAATAAAACTTTATACATTTCAAAACTACTGTCGTCATTGCAGCTGTGCACGAGAAGCTGTTTGTGGTGTTCATGACGGCGTCACTGTGCTACATGCTGTTGAACACCATCATATTCAGGTTGACGCGGACAGCGGGGAAGTTTTCTGAAGATGTGAGTTTACATAACGTGTTGAATTCTCTATCATAATTCTATGTTAAACTGTGGGAGCTAATATCCCCTTTTGACCAAGTGGCCCCTGTATTGCAATCACTTTCCAAAGCAACCTTCGCTGGGCTTAATTTGAGGAATTTGATTTTAACTTGCACAAGGGGCATGTTGACATGAAAACCTAGTTGCACAAGACAAAACCAGGTTGCACCCTGGTCCCATAAATTTATCATAATTGAAACATGCACATTGTCTTGAACTTGAAGTACCCACCATTTGAAGATGTCAAGCCCCCGAAAGCATGACAGATTACACATAAGACAGGGCTTTGTGAAGTCGTGTGACAAATAGAGCTTAGAGGTATTGAGTGTGTTCAAAGAGGGATGTTGTGTGCACAGGGTGCATGTAGACATAAAATATTGGTGACATTTTTCAAAAATAGGTTGCACTGATGCATGTTTTATAAAGGTGCGAGGTATTACCCGTAGTTTGGTATATTGAGGTTCATTCTTTCCACAATACGTATCACAATATCATTTTTTCATGCTCAATATATCGGGTGATTTCAAATAGCGATTTTTATCATGTGCTTAATGTTATATACTTGCCAAAAACCTTCACTGCCCCAGAACATGCATCTAGGGCCCTAAGATGGCTGTGTATTTATTGACCAAGTTAACATCATGTTCTACCAGGTTCTTGTTTTTTTCATTTATGAGCTTCAATTCATACCTCAATGTATCGTGATATGTATCGGCATACAGCCTTGTGCATCGCAAATTATTGTGAAACACTTTGAACCTAAAAACCCATCCCTAATGTTTTATGTAGCTAACTTGAGCCCTGCTTAGGGATATTGTGATCAAACTGTTCACATTGATATCACCAGGTTGCTTACATAAGTTGAGTGGTGTATTCTGGAAAACTGGGGATTTAAAGTCCTGTTTAGATATTACTGTTGTTGAACCAGTAAAACCAGGGTTTGACATGCATGTCTGTTTTTTTTACAGGAGGAAATCTCCTACAAGCTGAAGAAGATCATGTTTGTTCTTAACTTCCTTTCTACAATGGGACTGCTGTACTTCTTTGCTCTTCATCGGCTGTATTGTGAGCCAACAGGTCAGTAGGTCAAGATGCTATTCGGGGGTCAAGGTGATATATGCAGAGTTCAGGATAGAAGTGATTTACAGGGCCATTGTTCGTCATGATATGGCTGAAATATTGCCGATGTGACGTAAAGCTTTAACTCACTCACTCACTCACTCACTCACTCACAGGGCCATGGTGATATTAAAGGTCAAGGTGATATTCTGGGTCAAGGTGATATTCTGGGTCAAGGTGATGTTCTGGGTCAAGGTGATGTTCGGGATCAAGGTGATGTTCTGGGTCAAGGTGATGTTCAAGGTCAGGTTTTAGGATCCTATGATTATTGGTATGAATTGCAGACTCTCCCAATAAGAGTCCTCAGTTTGCAATATGCTAGTGCTAATTGTCTACAGGCTGCATAATGTTGTCCTGATGTTGTGAGGTTTAGTATCCTCATTAATTGAAATAATCGAAAATTGATGGTAAGGTACCATCAATTGAATGCAATTTTCCATTGTCAAAAAACAAAGGATTTTTGTCCCTCTCTCAACCCTGAGCTAGTTTTGTTTCCTGAGAACTTTTGTTCACTAGTCCTGTGTCTTTTTTTTAAAAATAATGTAAAAGTAAGCGTTTGTATTTGTTTTTGTCAGGTGTGATCTAGTTTTACTGAACTTACCATTAAGACACAACAAATGATACTAACTGACATGTTTCGATGATCGATTTGTTGGCATGACCCAATCATCAATCATGATTTTACAACCAGTTTCCACCTATCACAGGACCCGTGAAGATTCCGGGGTAGAATAGGTCTTCAGCAACCCATACTTGCCGTAAAAGGCGACTATGCTTGTTGTAAAAGGCGACTAACGGGATCGGGTGGTCAGACTCGCTGACTTGGTTGATGCATGTCATCGATCCCAATTGCGTGGATCGATGCTCATGTTATCAATCACTGGATTGTCTGGTCCAGACTCGATTATTTATACAGACCGCCGTCATACAGCTGGAATATTGCTGAGTGCGGCGTTAAACAACAAACCAACCAACCAACCAACCTATCACAGCAATACCAAACCAACTCACCATGCTCTTTCTCTGTTTTGTGTGCAGCATTCAGCTACTTCTCGCTGTGTGAATACATCATCGGCTACACCAACATGGCCTACCACATATCAGCGTACTGGGACTTCAAAGGCATGTCCATCGTGGCCGGCACGCTGGGGATACAGCACACTAACGGCACCGTCCTCAACAACAACAACAAGAAAAAGAGATAGACTCGTCACAGCTACTTCCACACAAATCATTGTCACAGTTCCATATCATAGTTCATTTGTTGTAACTATTTGACATGAAAGTTCATTTATCAATTAGAATCGATTTGCAGGATTTTTGTTATCCGTGCATACCGTGCTCTATCCATGAATCCTGACTTTATGTATTTTGGGGTAATGTGGAACATAAGCATATACTTACCTGAAATAGGGAAATATTATCTTTCTCTGGAACATGAATTTAGTAAATATTACAAAACAGAAATATTACATTTGTAAAGTGCAAGCAATTAGTAAAGACTTCAGGGTGTTTGGCGCTAATGTTTACTGTTAATTGTATTTTGATTTTGATATGGGGTAAGGCCATAATAAATTAGTTCTGAGATTTTTACCTCCGCCCACCTCACTACCACACTCCCCACCTCAAATCTTTATATTGTGCATGAGTACCTACGGCTGAAGACATTCACCACTTTTTGTTCCAAAAATTCATGCTTCGTGTGAAATTCAGCCGTCACCGGTAATACAAACAGATGTCTTGAACAACTGAAAATACTTATGCATATTTTTGAAAATGAAAATCTTGTAATGAATTTATCGTGGCCTAAGATCAAAAGTACTCATTTTTTTGTAGGAATCAAGTGGATAGTTTCTTGTTAATGAGCATTAAATCATGACTTTATCATCTTCAGCTTTGTAAGCGGCTACGTTTGCAGTGGGATTCGAAAGATACCATCCCATGAATCCTTGCTGTAGAACGAATTAGTTGTCGATTGTAGTTCACATAATGCTGTACACGCCACTATTGTCAACATTTTAAGTGATGCTGTCATCTTTGGCATCCTTGCAACTTATAAAGTGCTCAGGGCGCTTATTAGATCAACTACCACATGACATTTCCTACAGTTATGGTATTTGTGACAATGTATTTGGATTGTTGTGAAAGTCATTTTCTTTCGTTTGACACACATACCATTTGTTACTCATTGTAAGAACTCATCTGGTGTTAAACATGCTACTTAGGTTGGTCCATGACTCACTCCAGTATCACCCATTGATCACAATACAATCAGTGTATATATCAATTATTTATGGCATTTATATTCAGATCCTATTAACCAGCTTTTCTTCATTCTTGACGCGGCCCACAAATCAAAGATATGTACTGATTTTTCTTGAGTATAGTGCGCACCCAAGTTTAATGTGCACCCCCTCTAGTGGATTCAGTGTTTTGGAGAAAAATAAAATCGAATATTATGCGCAGAAAAGAAATTACACCGTTACCCTTCAGCGAATTCCGGTAAACGAATGATAAGAAACTTGGTCAGTACAAATTTGAAATTTGAGATAAAATATCACCAGACATGTTGATATACCATTTAAATTGTATTTTATGTAATGACTGAAATTATTGTAGGGATGGTTAAATTAATTCACATGTTAGTGGTATTGTTCCATATCTTGAATAACAGAAATATTATAATTATTGCTACTTTCTTGTTCTATTATAGTCATGTGTTTAATATTATTGAAATGTTGAAATATCGGTCAGTCTGATGTGTTTAGAAGTCAATCATCAGTATTGAAATTCACAGCAATATGTTTCATATTCGATATTGTCCGATATATTTTCATGGTTGACCTTGAAGATATGCTTTCTGTATAGATATATAATTGCAGCCACAAGTACTGCCAACACTCTCATTTGAATTTAGGAACAATAGAGAAAAAGAGAATGAAAGAATAGACCAAGAAAGCTGCTTGTTGAGAAATAATGTTTAGAATCCATGGAAATGATAGCCATGGCCATTTGGGTATTCACAACCCTGGTGATGTAAGTCACATACTCAGACACTTTTTCAGGGTAAAACTGAGGTATTGGGTGTCTTAGGGCAACCTAACAATTACTGGGGCCCCAGATGAACTGTGTCAGATTTATGGAAAAGTGAGAAGATTTGATTTACCGTATAAGACGTAATAAGCGCTCCGCTCTAATAAGCACCCACGGCAATATTTGCTAATATATTGGCAAGTGAACAATCCAAACTAGCACCCCTTCTGATTGATCAATGTACACAAGACTTATTTATTCGTGTATAATACGCACGCGTGTGTTATATACACCCTTAACTATGGGCAATTAAATTCAGGAAAAATATATCTGTCGTATAAAAACAGTTCAGTTTGTCAGCGTAAACCACAAAATTTATCTTTTAACTCTGTTTTTTCCACCAAAATAATATTCTAATAAGAGACCCCTATTTCTATTTTTGAGAGCACCCTGGTCGCTTATTACGTCGAATACGGTATATCAAATACTGTTTTGATCTATTGTTCTGGGCAGTGTTTCACCAAACGGTCGTGGACATGGACTGCTCTGGGTTGAATTCCTGGTGCTGCCACGGACCGAATCAGCTGTTCGATGAACACTTTGTGAAACAGGTTCAGATATAGCTCTCACTCATTTTTAACTGTAGCAGACTGTCATGAGTGAACGAGGAAATAACTTGCAGAAAAGGATTCTAGTCAGAGTTGAAAGACTGTTTTTGTTTCATTAAACAAAGTGACAGTTAATTTCAGTGATAATTTAGTACATTAGTCACAACAGTAGCTGCATATCTGAAAGCTGTCCTGAATTTTTTGTATGTTTTTTTTTACGAAATTGCAACTACATGTAATATACAAAAATAAGAACTCTACGAATAAATCGTCCCAAGGGCTAAATGATCATAGACAGCAATAACAGAGGTTATTATTAAATCTCCACCATTTACTACAAATGTATCTTGTTTATTGAGTGGTTAAAGTCTATTGTTTTGTATCTGTCCAATCAAGACACTCCACTCATGATATTAGAATTTGCTGTAGTCGAAATAGTAACTAAGCAATGAATCTATCATCTGAGTTTCAGAATCACATGGCTGTATTGCACTGTAGATGATTCATAATGTCGGAGTTTGCTATCCCGACCAGAAGATTGTGACAAAGTACCTACTGTAATTTGGGAAATTTGACAGCTGTGAGTCCTATCCCTTCTGAAGATGCTGGTCTTGCAACCAAATACATCAGGGAATTGTTTCTACATCACTTTTACCAAGAGCATTAATCAAACTTTCCCAAGTCTGTGCTGTCTGGGAGGGTGCGTAGAGTGTAGAGCATAATATGGCTTGATCAGCAGTGTATTGCAGAGAAATTCAGCTAAAAATGTTCGCTTATTGTCTATAATTAGAACTGAAACCCTGTCATGAAAATAATAATGGTTTTCACACAACTTTCAAATAAGTAAAGTTTTATTGCAGTAGAATGGTAAAAAATGACACTCCCACATTCTCAGATATGATAGAGCTGTCCTGGTATGTGCTGACTTCTTCCCTAGTGTTAACCAGATGGTTGTACATTTCACACATGCCACAGATCTCAGTCACTTACAGGCCTAGAGCCACATCAGCATAATCAAGCAGCTAGTAATTCACATGTACATTTCACTGAAATCGACAAGTATGTAGTCAAGTTTAATCAAACTCTAGATGGTTTTTTTTTCATTCTTTAAGCTTCAACTGTTGTATTATATTTGCTGTTAGAGGTAAAGAGGTCATTTGACAGAATTCATCCCTGATTTGTTAACACGTGTTTAGTTGGTCAGTATATAATATATGTTTTCCACTGAGGTTTCTCAAAACTATGTCGAATATATACAAATTTGGGTGGTGTGTTAAGATTTGTTAAATTTTGATAGATTTGCTGTTTTTATTAACGTTTAGAATCAAAGATGAATTTATTATTATCATCATTGTATCACAATGCCAGATAAACCGGTCCAGTGATTGAATTGCAATGATAATGCGTTCAAATCTCAAATTGTGACATTACCAAACAGTGCCCTTTTCTGTTAACAACTACACTTATTGATTGGACACAGCATTGTGTTGTCTGTGCCTACAACTGTTATATTTTATATAATCTTTATCAGTGACAATAATCAGTCCATGAATCGGAGAATGCCAGTTATATTTTGCACATTGATTCTTTGTTCCTATGGTTACGCGAGAATTGTATTTGCCAATACAGATAGTTTCCCTTTATTCTGGAGTCAATTACCTAGTCATTCCTTGGTATGATACCTATCAGTTTGAGGAGTCTACAAGACAAATAGTTTGTATGATGTTCATTCATCTGTATTAGACTGATTAGCCTAGAGGCAAGACGAAGTAAATATCTACTGTGAAATAAGTCCTTGGTAGTTTGTAGATCAGTGTTTTGTCATATGTACATTAGGCGGAAGCTGGTTTAGTGATTCATGTTGTACAATTATCTTGTCATCTGAAAATATTTTACCAGAGAATAAGTCTGGCTGAAATTATTACATAACCAAATAAGGTTTTTTAAAGCATGTAGACTGCTTATATGCTGACACAACATCTTTCCAGATTAGTATTTCAATAGTATTGTAATGAAATGTTTCCTTTCTGGTCTAATAATGATATTCCCACACAGCAGAAGTAGTCCTTAGCAAAATATACAAACTTCTCATTGTGCTGATTTGAAATGAAATGTTTTGTTGACTGCAAGGTTATGGTTTAAGTGAAGGAAGATAAATCTTTCTTTTGTTGTGTGTAACTTAACGTCTTGACCAAACAATCCATTTTTTAAAATAATTTAGCAAATGTCATCTTTTCTATGAATAAGATTTTTTATGTTACGGACGGACAATACTTGACAAAAATTATTTTGAGTTAGCTCCCCTTTTAGGTCTTCATTGAGTTCTTATTTCCGTGTTTTTTTTGTGTGTGATTGTTTACAAGTGGATGCCTACAGTCATACAGCTCAATGCCTGTATGCACAAACTATTTGTAGTACTATATAAATCATAACTTAAGCATAGCCTTACAATTGCTGTAGTGCTACAGACACTTCGTGCATGTGGGCCAAGTTTATTGAGTCACAAAGTTTTGTATTGAGGATCCCGACATGGGTACAATGTGTGAAGCCCATTTCTGGTGTCCCCCGCCGTGATATTGCTGGAATAGTGCTAAAAGCGGCGTAAAACCATGCTCACTCACTCATTGTATTGAGGAATGACAGAGTGAGTGTCACACACAGTGAAACACTTACTCACTTCAGGATAGTGCAATAGTGTAGTCATTGGGTTGCCATGGTTACATCTATCTGCTACCTCATCTTCAGTTATTTGTGGGCAACATCACTCAGGCCTAGTCTCTCACCTTGACATGTAAATATTGTCTTGTAAACGTCATTTAGACTAGAGTTCATATATTGACAGGAATCAAAAGACTAGTTTGGACCATCTTCCCAAGGCATGGAGTTAACTGACTCTAGTTTCCACCCTTGTCGAACTAGGCTGGAATTCTGGAGTTACGTTTTGGCTGGACTGACGAATCTATGAGTAGTCCAGACAAAATCGCGAAATGAACTAGACATCCGGTTCGTAAACAACCTGAATTTCAATGTGCAAATGTCGGTCGACTGCAGGATTTGCAAAGCATGTGTACTGCCAAATGGTCGTTGACAGATATTTTGCAAATCTGTACATGTTTTTTAATCAAGGTGCTCAAGTGATCGGATGCACTTTGGATGCACTTTAAGGGATGAGGCATGTTTTATTACAATATAGATCTTGATTAAAGATCATATCGTCTTGACTGGGTGCTGCCATTTTGTTTGAAGCAAATGCAAGTGATATGAGAGTTGAAATCTGATTGGTCAATAACAGGGACTTGGATGGGACATAACTCGTAATAACCACCGGAGGCGCTACGATCGAGCCTGGAAATTCCAGGCTAGTTCGGCAAGGGCAGAAACTGGACTTTTATAGTCAGGTAAGCCCTTGCCTCGGGAAGATGAGTTTTGATCTATAGATAGATATCCTCAGTCCTCTGCTTGTCCTAGGAGTGGGGTTAGTGGTATTTTTACCAACCAGTCGAATATGATGTTCTATTAAGTCTGAAATGCCCAATGAAAGTAGAGATTTCACATTGTGTGAAAACAAGTGCAGAATCCTAAACATCAGTAATAAGTCAGCATTGGGATAGAAACTGGGGGCCTGGGGGCCTGGGGGCCGTTGTACAAACAGATCTTAGTGCTAAGGTGATCGTAATTCCCATACCTTAACATAGACTTACTTCAGTCATAGTGCTAAGGTTGTTTTGTACGGCGGCTCCCAGGTAATGTGTGACTGTTATGTACTGGTATACTGGTAGTAGTGTTTTACAAAGAGTAATGTCTCTATTCTAGGATGCCAACACATTTATATATATAAAACCCCAGTCGAACAACTAATTTGAAAATAAGGAATATGCAAACTTACCTAATCATATTAAACTTCAATGACCCCTTCTGAATAGTTGCCTGTCCCTGCTACTATTTCATACTTGGCGGGGCAGTCGGGTAGCCTAGTGGTTAAAGTGTTCGCTTGTCACGCCGAAGACCCGGGTTTGATTCCTGATATGGGTACAATGTGTGAAGCCCATTTCTGGTGTCCCCCGCCGTGATATTGCTAAAAGTGGTGTAAAACCATATTCACTCACTCACTCACTCATACTTAGGAGTTATGTTTACTTCTGGATATGGGAAATATTGGCAAGAATCTCGTCTACAAATAACTGATGATGGCCCTACCTCTTCTGTTTGTAACAATATTTAATATTAGTGTTAGATTGTGTGTAATATTTGTATTATTATCATGACCTTTCCATTTCTTTATAAGTCATATCTTGAAATGCCAAAAAGGATATCTTACAAGAGCAACTGCAGTTTGGTTTTTAACTTCTTTAACTGATAAATAGTTTTTGTGAAATATATTTTTACAGATTAAATATTGTTTGTTAGACTATGAGACAAAGGCTGTTTATATCAAAATTTAGTCATGTAATATTTAATATCAAAAGGGTGAAGTATAATGCTTATTTGCTATAATAAGTCCCTGATTCCAGGGTTCAACATTCTATGATTGTGTCCTTCAAAATAGGAATTTTATCTTTGAAAAGTTCTTAAGTGTTGTCACTGTATGGACCCTGAAGACATCTTCAGTAACTACTGTAAATCATGAAATTAATGTGAAAAATGTGTGTGTCCT